TAGTATTTGATAGGCTTGGCACAAAGTTATATATCGGCAAATACCTAGTGCTTCTGATTTATCAATAATATTTATTCTGTAAAACAGCCGGATTTGGTTTGTTACGATACGAAAAGCGGTGGAGTAATTAGTATTATAACACTTTTTTTCTTTAATCCATCATAATGTAATTTTACCACTGGAATGTCAGTATTGTTCCACCCGATGGTAAGTAGCAAGTGTCCCCTATATATATATAAACAGTATCATGGAATTAGTAAATTAGTTAATTGTCAAGTAAGTTTTGTAGTATGTTTCATGCATTTGTATCTATTATCGATATAATGAATCGAAATTTAACACGAATAATTTTATAGTAAATAAAATGTGGTATTTACCTCCCTTGGCGTTTTGAATAGGTAGCACTACACCTGACTGAAGCACAGCAATGTGAACTACGTTGTATTGTACAGACCTCGCGGAATAAATACACTAATGCACCGATTTAATTTCAAACTTATCTATCTTTCAACACGATTGAATTTTATGCCATATCCTTGAGTGTTAATTTTTAATTTCTATCACTTCCCGTATTATGACTGGGTAATAATGACGTTCGGTGATGTAGTATATGTGGGAAAGAGATAAAGCATTATGTCGTCTCTAGCGCACACTGCTGGTGTCATACGGCCATTAAGTTGTGGACGGCAACTTATTAACGACTTATGGTTATTCCGAAATAAAACAACATTAGCATTATATGCAATTTTATTTACCATTTTTAACTACTACACATATAGTTTAACTACTAAAATACGAAATAACAATTTATGGTGATGTTTCAAATCGCTTATCTTGCAATTTTTGCAGAAATTAAGCTATTTGCGATTAATCTAATATTTAAACATTAAACACAACTCATCAACGTGAAAACATACATAAACATAACTTATGTTTCTGAGTTCGCTCTTGGCTGGTTATACAAGCCAAGTGTTAGAACACGCATAGTGGCCCAAGTGTGAAAACGTTTTCGGTTGTACCTTACAATATACACAAAAGTTGTAACAAACATCTCTTTAATCATTCAGCTGACAGAGATCTCTTTGAGATAACATCGTAATATAATGAATTACTTGTTTATCGATAAATTGTGAATATACAGAAATATACTTTCTTTAAATAAAATTAATTTAAGCATATTCTGATATCGCTTTAATATGATTCTACCGTTGCCTTACTATATTCTTCTTTAATAACAAAGAACCTAATGTCCTGCTTAATGGTAGATAAGTGGTGATCATCATATATAGGATCCTTAAGATCGAGTATATAGTATATTTAGAATGTGATTTTATGGAAATCACATTATGATGATATAACCATGGTACCACTCATTGACATTATATACGTTACCATTCTAGAGAACTACGATGTCATACTTCTTATCCTATAATTTCACTGCCTTATGTGACCCTACAACCGAACACAGCTTCCAAAGCGACTAGCTTGGCAGCTGAAATAGGTGAGGCTGAGTTACCCACGACGACTTTTTTACAGTCGTCCTCTGGATTAACATAAATAAAAAAGAAACACACACTATTTACTTTTGCACGTAAGTTCTCAGTGTCATAAAGAGCTAAGGGCCAACGTCAATAGGTTTTCAGTATTGCTGTCACTCCGTACTATCGTAATTCACCTCTTTAATAAGACATATAATTAAATATTTGTATCTTCATTTCATTCGTCGTAAAGTTAAAACTACAGTAAGGAACTGGGTGCATGCACAGCCAATATTGACATATTTTATTATTTAAATATTGCATTTATATTCCGCGCATTGTAACATGGTGCGCGTGACAGCTTATATTTTAGCAATTTGTACTCATAGAAAGTAAGCTCTATTTAGTGACAGTTTAGAGCTAAAATCAAACAAGTCACAATTGTCATCTTTTCACAATTGTTTTGTTAAATACGATCAAGCCTGGTAACCTATACTTACTTATTTACAAAACATTAAATGCACTCAAAACAATAGATAATATATAGTTGAACTTGATAACTTTGTTGTTTTCTATGCCTGTAATCTACACCATGTTACAACAGTTGGATTATAATTTGCAATTCCATTACATTAATATTACATTTGGCAACAAAAGCAATATTACTCAATTAAAATCTCCTCGTATCCTAATAATTATAAAACTTACAAACTAAAACAGAAACATGCAATACAACATAAACATTGGAATATTAGCTAATTTATCACAAGGGACAAATAATTTAAGAATACACGTAAAACTATTTCAATTAACTTATCTACCTATTTGTAAATTTTAATTCTCATGAACAGGAACTTCTTTTAAAAAGGGACTCACTGTTACGAAAAAGATTGATATACGATGGTTGCATTTTTGCGCCTTCTATATTTAAATTGACGGCCTCGGTCTAGCAGTCTAGCACACCGCTTTACGACCGATGGTCGCGGGTTCGATTCTTCGCACGGTACAAACATTTGTATTCATGAGTATGATTGAATGTATTGGCCTGGGTGTTTTCTATGTATAATATGTATTTACGAAAAAAAAAAAAACTATGTATTTGTATCAGTTATCTAGTACCCATAACACAAGCTTGAGCTAGCTTAACTTGGGTCTAGATGGCGCTGTGTGAATTGTCCTGAGATTATTATTATTAGTTATAAAAACACGTGACGAGTTCACTAAATATATTAACTCTACAATTTTAATTTTATGTCACCTCATCATAACAGTTTATATCCCACAGCTGGGCACGGCCTTTATTTCATACGACAATAATTTAGCTAACTGTAACCATATATACATCACGTTATGCAAAATGAAAGAGCTTAGTAACAGGGATTATGACCTCATTGCTAGCCACCTTCTTGTCACGGCGAGTTCCACGTGATTCCCCTGGAACCATGATTGTTTCTCTCACCTGAAAGTCACCTCTCTCACATGAAGTCTCATGTCCACCTTATCATCCTTCACTGTCGATCCACCAACCTATATAATTTGTATAGACGGTTTTCTTTTATACATCATATTGGAATGGTGCATTACATTTCATTATCATGAACTATAAACTTCATACCGTCAAATTTACACTTATTACAAAATATATTATGGTTTATTTATGTTGATGTAGTAGCAACAATAACTCCGAGTGTAATAAAGCTCAAGCTATTTGTCCGGCGCTATTTGCAACATCAACTGAATGGGGCGAAGAGAATTGTTAGTAATGTGGACTCATAACCGCATTGCTACCTACCATGTCAGGTTGACGTTAACGCGGTTTCCTCTAGAAACCAAATTCTAAAGGGTTAACTTACCTGACCTCATATTCATCCTAACATCCTCCACTAGTGCCCCGTCGGCGTAAACCGTTAGCGTAGGCGGGTGAACCCTATCATTTTATCATGCATTAAATAAACATCAACTGGTTTACGCCATACGTCGCATCGATGATGGCACACGCCCTAAATATTATAAAATACTTTGTGACCTTTATAAATTACTATTCCTGAGTATTTATGAAACAACATCAGGTAATTAAAAATTTCAATGCAATATTTCATCATTAAAATTTACAAATGAAATTAAATATTTTTTACTAATTTCATTTGAACAACAAAAATGCACAGAGTAATTAACATTACATTTATAAGAGATGGCACCGCTCTTATAAGAATTGGACCAAAATTAAACCTGTGTACCTACCACAGCCTGTATGTAACGATTTTAAACAAGAAACAACGAGTATTACACAAAAAATATTTTGGGTTTCTTACACAACGACAAAACTTGCAAAGTTAATTATAACCGTTTGTATAAGCAAATAACCGTTACTAAAAAACGGTATCACACTTTCATATCAAAATATTTTGTACCTAGAGACACCTGAAAAATATAGTCTTAATTATTTTTTTCTACAAGTTCCACAGATCTGAAATACTATATAAACCTATTTTCATTCAGTGCATAATCCGTAGTCGTATATTTAAAAAAAATCATATATATTTTTGTAATGGTTCTTTTCAAGCAACTAGAGACATTATACCACTAACAGTAGTTACATACACTTCATATTAAAAAAAAAAACCTACAAGCCTTAGATGTTATGAGATATTCGTGTCGTTCCTTCATGTTAAAACTAGTTAAAAATCGGCAAGTGACAGATAAATAAAGGAGAGCTAGAGAAATATGTTTATCAGACGTTACGGTTTGATGAATACAGAGTAGAGTAAAAACCGATCCGCAATCACATCAAATATCGATTTGGTTTATCCGTATCGTTACTTATTAATTTAAAACGACTTCTTAATATAGGTGACGTATGAAGGAATAATATACACGTCAGAACAAACTTACTCATGAAATATCTTAACAAAAATGTTTGTGCAAGATGCTGAATTTTTAGATATATACATTAGACTAAATGGGCAGATTCCTTTGCTTAACTTTGCAAAATAATAACTAACAGAAAAAATAAACTAGGACATATTTTCATTATGGACACATTAGCTTAGAACAAAATATTTTGTATGATGAACTATGGTACCGATTATTATACGACGGTACGACATATTTCAAAACATTATTCGCATGCAAAATTCAATAGAGTCTATCGGCATTACAAGCCGCCTCATTTAGGACAAACGAATTTTTGTATTAAACTGTCCGACCTTCTTTTTTAGATCCATTACAGGTGATACATAGCTTCAATTTTCATAAGAGCAGTGTCAACTCTTATAAAACGTAGTTTATAATTACTCTGTGAATACTAATTTCTAAAGCGTATAGTGTTTAACTATTGTACTGCGTCGGTATAGCAACACATTAATGGCGCGAAAACTGCATAGCGTCAGTACATTACAGTAACATATTTTTATTCGGATAGTTTGATATGTTCCCTACACATAACTGAAAGAATTACGAGAATCCTTCAATATTTACTTAAATATTATTTTTTGTGTACACTTAATTAAAATGGTATTTTTTAAACACACGATTTATGCACAATATGTAAAAAATGGCCAGCATTAAAAATAGGTTAAGGACACGGTCAACGTTGTCACTGAACAAAATATATTTTATATTAACTGTGCCAGTACTTTCATTTTACATTAATTCCATGTTGAGACATAGTTTCAATTTTGTTTGAACTCATAATAAGGCAATGTCCAATAGTTTCTTAAAAAAACGTATCTACTCTATGGGCAATGCAATTTACCTTTACTATCGTATAAAGTGCGTTCCTATCATTAACTTAATATTTCAAACACTGCCCTAATCCCGTTTACTAGGAAGGCAGCTTTATTTCCTGCTCCCGTTTCAACAAGTAATGCGAAACGTTTTCGTATGTCAAGAACGTGACCATAGTGGCCGGAACCACCCGCACCAGATTTGGCTTCAGACCCTTGTAGAAACCCTGCCAGCGTTCGTGCCTGGAAATAACAGGAATTCGTATATTTAGCATTGAAATAGTATATGTAATGAACAATTTACTTACCGTTTTCTTTTTATATTTTAAAAATAGAATGTACCATAATTTCGTGATAAAACATTTGATGTCTATGCTCTTTTGCTCAATCATAGATGATACATACAATATACGCAACTTTATTTCAATGATATTATTAAAGAAGTTTAGTAAATACAAGTACAAAAGTCTAGACTGTTTAAATTATTTATATTAGAATAAAAGTCACGTAAATATTTACGCCAGTATATAGCGAGACGAATCAATAATACATTTACGTTCAAATTTCTTTAGTTACTTACATAATTTTAATTTCAATTCATGAAAGGTTCCTACAATAACTATATAGTATTTGATAGAAAAAAAACAACATTTATATAGTCAATTTGTTATCATTTATTGATTACACAAATTGAAAGAGAGTGGAAATAGTGGAACTTTAGCAATTATTATAAAAATATAATTATAATATTTCACTAATTGATATTGTGGCCAGCCACTGAATAAAACTATAAACACTAAAGTACACAACAACAGCTCCGGTAATCACTACCTATTATATCAAAATTTGTTATTTATTTCATTTAATACCACATTTGTTCATACAGAAGGTTGAATAGTAGAAAATGTTTAAATACATTGTTTAGGTAAATTTATTAGATTAAACAAAGGAGGACTTATCTCTAAAAGAGATCTCGTACAGTCAGCTCAATACAGCGTGTCAATAAACAAAATAAATATCCTCCTAACACAAGGTCTAATAACATTGCTTTACAGTATACGAATCATAACAGGATTTGATAATAACCAACCGAGTTTAATAGACATCTTGCACCATGATTTTAATATTAACACACTGGACCGTTTTCAACGGCAGTTGTTTAAAGATACAAAAATTGTTGAAATTTATTAGTGACACAACAAATATTAATTACAATAAAGAAAATAAATATTATTTGAAAAATTTGTACTGTTTACTCAAAGAAGTAAATTTTAAAATAATAATAAAAAATTCAATTACAGGCATTTTAGAAGGCAGTGAATTTGCCATTAGAAATTAGCTTTTACAAAAAAAAAAAACAATTAGCAATCTTAATATCAATTAATATATAAATATAACTATAACCATGATTTGTGACGACTTATTGCACGCTTATTATTTAACATAATAGACCTTAACGGTTTAAACTTAAAATCGATTTTCCATTATTTCTTTCCTGTTATTGCTTTTTTGGAAATCGACTTTAAAGATCCGTTCTTAAGGTGGATTTTTCCCTACGATTGTGCCAAATTGGCGTCAAAAAAAGAAATTATTTTATTCGATAGTACATTATCGGAGCTGTTGTATGATATCAATAAATATCGCTGTGACAGCGCAAAGAAATCAATAACGCCTTTTTCAATCACAAATATTTTTTGGTGCGTTTTCAATCGACCCACACGCTACACTTTTGTTTATAACAAAAGTCTACTACAATTTTCTAATGTTAATTATCTGCCCCAACAATCTAGGATAATAATAGCATATCATAAAATATCTGATTAATATTTCAAACATATTATTACGTTTTATTGTTTTAGTTTACATTTTATCACATATATAATGGTGAATGGTGGAATAGGTAAAATGGTCACTTTGAATGATCAGTAAATTATATTAGGACAACAATTATATTTCATGCAATTGAATTGTTTTCTATGAGACTCACGAAAATGGCACTCTTATTTAGCTTTTCTTATTTATCATATAAGATGTAAATTGCCTCACAGTGAATTTAAGACAAAAAGATTACAAATTTCCTTTTTTCTGTACAAAGCTATCCAAGGTAACCTGAGCAGATACTCAACTGTCAAACTTCCTTTGCTCCAACATAACAACGTCACTGTTATCGTTTTTTAAAAAAACTATAGGATCATATTTCAATATATGACAGATATAAGGCAAATGTTAATAATTTTAGAATTCCATAATAAATCACCCAAAGTGGCTATTTTAGCCGACAAGACAAGTTATGAAATACGTTTTTTTTTCATCATCTATAGTAGAGATCTTGTACAACAGTATATATATATATATATATATATATATATATATATATATATATATAATAACAATATATTATAGTTATTAGTGATAGAAAAGCGCCAATTAAACCAGAACGTCATCGGATGCGCCCGCGCAGTATTAAATACAAACCTACATTTCCTAATTAATTAGAACCCAATTTTTCTAGAACTTATTTTATATATTTAAATTAACAATTGTGATATACCTTGTATGTGATACGGTCAATAAATATCATGTTTTTTATATTATAATGAATTACTACATTCGTGACATTATAAATTATAGTTTATTGATAAATTGTACTAATTTTTATGTGACAGAGCATGAAATGGAGTGATTGAAAGAGTATTTTTTTTTTATTTTTGTGTTATTTTTATTCGTTAAGAAATTATGACTTTACTACCTAAAGCAAAGGCGGAGATATAGTCTAAAATTAGGAATTTGAGGTAGAACCGCTTTAAACTTGTATACATCTAAAATTTAAATAACGAGAACATCTATACTTTACTATACGCAAATCCGCAACGAATATCTAACGAAACAACCGCATAAGCAAACTTGGCAGAACACGGCAGCGTGACACCAATCATTCACTATTCGATTGTTTTATTCGATACATCGATGCGGACATAACTTTACGCGTTTCTAATTTAGACAAGTTGAAATATTCTACCTCGTAAACAACCTAACGACGTCTCACCACACATGTAACGTTATCAATGAAAAAAACCGTCTTTTTTAGAAGGAGATTTAATAAAACACGAAACATATAAGTACATAACTATTATCACAAAATTTTCAAATTAAAACTAAATTGTGCTACGCATGGCAACATCGCTGTAATGCTTGCCAGCTTTTGTTAAATAAATTCAGTCACGATCTGATGGGAAAGAGTACTACTACCATTTACAAGAGATTACGAATTATGGCGAATATATAATATAAATAAAAACAACAACATATGTCGTGAGACAGGTTCACAATGTATAGAGTAACCATAAACAATGTATACAGTAACTTGCTTAACACTAAAGAGGTTTCATAATCGTTCGAAAATAGTCGACGTACAACATCCATTAAATTACATGAATATTTAAGTAATTATATTCAATATTTTAAAACATATTTATAACAATCCAAAAACCTGTCAAAACTAATTCTGAATTCGTATACAGTGTACAAATCGAATACAATATAAATAAAGATGTCAAAAATATTATAAACAAAGAAAAGTAAATTACAATAAAAAATGCATTTTCAAATTAAGAATACGTTAAACGGATACAATAAAAATTCGTGCTTACACACTATGCCTTACCTCTTCACACAGAAGTTGTCAAAATAAAACCCTGTGAGTGACAGCTGTCAAAATCGAATTAAAAATTAATACATACATAGACAAAATAAATAGTCGTGCACTTTCCCATCAGATACGGTGGATTCAATCGTTGTTCGTGAACTTCTCCCATATGAGCATAACTAGGCATATGTTAGGCGTTACATGTAGGAGATAGGGCGTTAGGCCTTTGTAAAAGCCTCTGATTCGTTCGTACCTCCAGGTCTCCCGGATGCAGTGCCAGGCGCCGTCGTAGCTGCGGTGGTGGTCTTGGAGACGCGCCCTCACCACTTGGTAAGGGTAGGTGGCGCCGGCGGCGATCAGTTTAGATATCGCGGCGAACGTTAGATATTCCACTGACGTCTGTAAAATTACATATACATTTTCATAAGTCAATACCGTCATAATTGTTATCCCAAATTAGATAGTCAAGTGCTTTGTCAACTGTTAATGTCACGGTAAACGCAAAATTTCTAAAATCAAATCAAATTGAAATAAAATGTTCTAATCAATGCATAAATGAATATTTAACATTTTTTATTCCCTACAGTCCAGTTCTCTATACAGAATCAATTGAGAAGATTAAAATTCCCATAAATATTAAAACACAACATCGTCTTACGGATTACTCTGTTAGGTGTTTCCATCGCCGGATCATCAGACCAAAATATGAATAAACACAATTTATAGTACAATTCATATAGCCTAAACAAAACAGTGCATGTACTATAAGTACGAGACAACTGATTAAAATATTTTTATCATGTTTTTAATTCAAACATAATATAAATATAAAGCACTAGAGAAAAATATAAACAATAATACTCTGATAGTCCGACGGTAGAGACCAAAAAATAAGGATTTATTAGCCATCGATGTAACATTAAAATATATTTATAATAACTTACCAATTTGATATCAATTGGCAAATTCCTGTATTGATTGTAACGATTCTTCATTTCCTCGTATGTCATGAACTGCAGGGCACCGTGTGATACTCCAAACATGCCGGGCACAAACCCCTGGAACATATAAACATTAATAAATATATATTTATAAAAAGTCATACTACCCAATGACATTTCGTCTCAAACTAAAACGCGTGTTTAAAATCTTTTTTCCATAAAAAGATTATATTTATAAATATTGAACAGCCTCGGTGGTCCAGCGGTTAAGCATAGCATTAATTCCGATGGTTCGATTTTTCGCATACAAATATTTGTATTCATGAGTATGATTGTTTGTATTGGCCTAGGTGTTTACTACGTATATTATAAAAATATACATATTATCCATCAATTGCTTTGCCATTTAAATTGTAAAAAAATATAAATTATGGAAAAATATGACGATTAAGATAATTGCAAAGTGTCTGATTATACAATATCATCATCATTTCTGATAAGCCTATCAAAATTACTCGCTTACATAATATTAAAATTGAGTAAACTATGCCACTGGACTTCAAATACTAAAATAAAATAAAATTATCATTAAAAGAGACCCTTTCCAAAACTTTGGTTTATAAATTGATAAAACAACCCTACATTACGGCAATTTATTATATTATAAACAATAAATTAAAAAAAATAGGTATTATTATAAATCGTAACAGGTGAAAATTGAAATAAAAGAAAATCATTATTCTTTCACCAGTGATAAGATAACAGAGGCTCGATTAGGCAAATCGCACAGAAGTGGACTTGAACAGATTTACTTTCAAGAAGTTGGGATGCAAAGAAGAAATCTTAGATTTATATTAAACTAGCTAGCCGCCCCGGCTTCGCATAGGTATTATACATAAAAACCGTCCTCTTGAATCACTATATATATTACTACTATGTAAAAAAATATATTATGGGCGACTCAATTCAGCTCCCTATCGATAGGACTAATCCGTTCCTTTCTGTAACTAACCCAAATTGAAATTACGAGTAGTATAATCAATAGCAAAGTGACATTATTTATTACGTTTTCAGAATTTGGGAAACACTGCAATTGGAATAAAAAAATTATATCCTCAGTTTCTACTAAAAATGTTTTATTATTTCCCTTAACGAAGGTCATGCAGATGTCTGCATGTTACCTCGTTAGCAGAATTTAGTAATAAAATAAATATTAATATCGGGTATAATTTTATTTTTAAAAGAAATTTTAATAAGATGTAAGTAATAAAAATGCACGAAAAACTAAATATTCGACTCACAGACTTCTCTGTTGCCAGTATTCTGTTCTATGATTGGACCGATAGAAAACTATAGCCATCATTTGAAGGCGTATTGATACTGGGTAAATTACTATGCAAACAGAGAGGCACGAGTGTCCAGTTTTATTAGGCATAGCTACGTAAAGATAAGGAAAAACGTGCCTACTGAAAAACGAATTATGTCGTTTTTACTGTTAGGTATGTAATTTTGTAATTAAAACACTGCAAGTGAATCGATATTACTTATCAATACAAAAATAACACGACAAGGACATTTCTCTCCACGACGTAATAAACCGGCTATTAATCCCGACATAAAGACACAGCAGTAAGAAAACAAAACATCTAGATTATACGTTATCCGGATGACATGATTACTATTAACTTCACTTTGGGTGCATAATAATGCTCAATAATTACTCTTCTTATGCATTACACCCCCCCCCCCCCCCTCCATGCGTTACCTAAAATCAAGTATACTTTTAGTACTTACAAAGATTATTAAAATACCTACAAATTTTATTCTATAAAAGTCAAGACTTACCTACAGCTACGCCGCTTTATGATTTAGCGATCGCGCGTTTGACGGAAAAATAAATACACGTGATGACCACCCTTGTGACTTGGCGTAATTTTTACCGACCCCCTCCCCCTTCCGCTTTCGCGCCTCACGCGAATATGTACGGCGTTAATATAGCTAATATTAAATATCCAATTTAGATAATAGTGTTCCAAATAAAAAATCTGAACATAAAGAATGCAGGGCTGACGTAATAATTTAGTAGGTTGCATTCTATGCCGCTTTATCTCACGAACTCGGCCAATCTCTGGACCAATACTTAATAAAGTTATCATCGAACTGGACTAAAGCAGTTACAATAATGGACAATAACATTGTTATCGAAACACAAATATGTATTAACATAGAAACAAATATTCAGTTCATAACTCCGAATGAATTTTCCACAGTCATTAAAAACGTTCCGCTGGTTTGGACATCTGCAAAATGTCATATGAATGATAACAATAAATGATCCGATGTATATTATTATACAGTACATTTTTCTATGCACTTTTAAAGTAATGAAAATCAAAGTGGATCAACTAGGTTGAACTGGATCACCAGTATATAAAAGTAAATAGTAAGTACTTGTTAGCGGCGTTGTCCCCGTGACCTAAAAGCAATCATTTATCAGGATTTGTTAAACACTTATAATTCGCATTGAATAAAATGAAAATGACTAAACAATTATTCATGGTAGTGGGACCTTATAGCCACATATGAACGTAAAGTTTTTTCTCTTAATTTTTTTCCTAACGTCCAGTTCAGTTTAACTTACATACATTGTTACATTACATAATTTAATTACATTACATTTTATTTACATTGTTCTAATATAGGTGTCTCTCTAACATTAAATTAAAATCCCGTGCACAACAAATATTGCCATATGCGTTCGTCATGTCCCGAATAACATGTATCACAAAACAGAGTAGAATTACATCGTTTCTGATTTAGTTGATAATAGAATGGTGATTACGTTTTGTTTTGAAAGCTAAAATCAAACTACAATATGAATACAGCAAACATACATGTAAAACTAAAAATATTGTTATCATTTGTATAATCGTCCCTGACCACAGTTGATCTACCACAATGTTGACATGATAACACTCACAATCACAACAGTCTCAAATACAAAGATGCAATAATAATGTACACGCGAAGGGGTAGTGTGATGAAAAAGGGGCGTACTGCGAAATTACAAATCAGAATATTCGGACTAAAATGTAATAAGGCCATATTACAAACTGAATTATTAACTCCGATAAATTTGTAGAGTCTAATGTTACATAAGACATTATTAATATTAACCGTTACACATCTGTACCAGTAGAACGCTAGGATAAGAAACTTAGAGTTAGATTGGTAGGAAGATTGAAAAATATACTTAATTACGTTTTAAACGTAATTCTAGTTATATAACAGAGCATCAAAGGCGAGCATAAAATTCATCGGATTAATAAAAATATGTTTAAAATGCGCTCCAATTGTGTCCATTCAATAAAGCTAGATAGTAATTTCATCGTACAGAACCAACTATACATATTGTGGCTATTCCTCTCCGAGCGATTCCGCGTCCAATTCAAACGGAGATCGAAATCACGACGATACATATCGAAGATGCGATCGAGATTTGAACGCCCAGTGGTGTCCAGACTTAAGTCGTATCCATGAGACAAGAGCTGGCCTTCAGCTATTCCATAAGTCCATCAGTGGATTTAGAGTGCCATCTGCACTTATCAGTTTGTTGTTCAGTGGAGCTGTAGGGCCAGCTGCAGTAGGTATTAGAACAGAACGAAAAAAGATATGCTATATTTCAATAATTATTTTTAAAAGTCAGCGAAACCTACTGTATAACAGGCGTCTAACAGTATACGTCCAATCCCTATAATCTATAGAAATAAATGAGCATGCGAAACAACGGTGACTTGGCACCGCTTTCGCTAATAGTTAAAACTTTCCGTGGGCTATCTTTAGAAGACGATTTACCTACTAAACTGATTTTTGATCATGAACCCAATGTCTAGGGTATATCTTTTTAGAATGTTTTATTTACAATCCACACTACATGTTTCTATTTCTCATTTCAAAGTACCCAATACATTACTTAGAGTACATATTTAAAAAAAATGTACAGCGCAATATTATATTCTAATTTTTTTTATATTATTTTCATTTGCAACAAAATTAAAAAAAAAATTAGTACTTTTAATAAAATATTTTTCCTGTACCACTTTTCTATACTATCTACGGTATAAAGTTTCCTTTTTGCGTTTATTTTCTTTTCTCAACTGTCATTTATTTAGTATTTTAGGACGTCCGACAGGGAAGAGTAGGTAAGGTTAATACTATTGGTCTAATACTAGTGGTCGCCTGGTGGTCGAAATTAGACCACAATTAATTTAAATTATAAGTTTGAACATTAATAAGACCTTAGAAGACCTCAAAGACTATAGAGAAATAATATTCATGAGAAACAATACTAATCTATTCTCAATTTGACCACAAATTTTAACAATATACAAGAGTATATACGTCAATGTAATGTTTTTTTTTAGTTAATGTATTTTTATGCATATTTTTACTGCACGCCTCTATATAAACTATAAGTGTACGAAATTTCATACTTCTCTGTTCGCGCAATTTTCATAATATAATGATATGCATGTCAAGCGACTAATATTAGCGCACAGAAGCAAGTTCTAATAAATAATTATTTAATTATACTCATCGTTGCCACAATGGCAAATTATACAATTTATTATACATTATATTAATATATGTATATTATAATTATACGACATTATAATGCCATTAAAGTATATAAATCTGTAATAGTTTCATGTTTTATAGCAATGATCTCGGCATGACCTTAGTCTAATTTCGCACGTGTGGCGTGAGTAATTTAATTGTTTCCTTGTAAACGTATAGCATGTAGTTATTATTTCAGTTTTATTCTCCAAATCTCAAAAATAATGCCTATTTATTTAAGTAATAAAGACATTTAGATTTGTATTTATAATATTAATAATAAACTTGTTTATTATTATTTCTAGTGTAACTCCAACTTGAATTCTTATTGCCAAACATTATCATTTTCAACTTCCTGCCATTCTCCCATTGAATATGTTTTTTTCTTATTAATAATAATGATAAGGTATACGCACGTGAGGACAGGGGAGGAAGAAAGCACTAGGAATAATAATTTTATTTTTTATTTTAACATTATTATTATTCATAGAAAACACCCACGAGTACGATACAAACAATCATACTCATGAATACAATGTTTGTGCCGTGCGAGGAATCGAACCTGCGACCACCGGAAGTAAGGCGGTGTGCTAAACAGCTAGACCACAATGGTTCTGATTCTGACCATTGGACCTTGGGGACCGCCGTGGAGCTCGATCTGACGTGGTACATAACTAGGGATCACTAATCACCATTACTAACATCCCCTTCCCTCCTCAGATATATAAATAATGACACTATTACATAAATCGTTGGAAGATTTCCATATTACATAATTAGGTATAACAACGATTTAGATATATTCACGTTTAGGTATATTCATACTAATTAATATTTTAATACCTGTGCGTCAGACTAAGGTGATATTGGCTGTTAAAAATAAATTTATGAAACACTAGCTGACCCGCGCAAGTTCGTCTGCAGCACACTTACTTGACATTTACAATTATGTGTCGCCAAATATACATAACTTTTTAAATTATAGACTACGTGTTATTGTGATGAATAATAATAATATTAGTTTTATCAAAAACAGTTTAGTGGGTTTTGCGTGACAGAGTAACAAACATCCATCTGTCCATCCATACTCGCAATCTTTCAAGTTTATAATATTAGTAAGATAATATAATTTACATTCTCAATAAATGAATGCATCTTCGTCTTGCAGATTCAAGAATATTACTATAGCATTTAGTGTGTTCACCATCAGTCTTAACATCTCTACTTTACTGAAATAGACTTTGTACAAAGTCGTCAGTTCATCATTTCTTTTAATCTTTGTAATCTTTATTTCAGATGAGATATGGTAGTGAAATTACAGGGTAAACAGGCATTACACCTTAGTACTCTGGAAAGGATAAGTGTTTTGACTTTTGGCGAACAATTGAATTCTATCATTAAAAAGTGGTTTAGAGACAAAATATAGATATTTTTATTTGCATGTGCAAAATATTCTACGATTAATTCTTGTTACATCTAGAAAATATCTTTTTATCGTTTCAAAATAATGTTGTTTTTTTTATAATCGACAAGTAATTCAAAAGAATTCGTAGTTGGTAATAGACGCTCACAAGCAGTTTATTATACGCCTAAATAATTGCCAATAACCAGAGTGTTGTATGTAATGCTGACGAAACTGACATTTTGCACATCTAGTTCGATACTGGAGTAACTAAAAAATTACAGATTTTGGAAAATCCACCCTAAAGTTTTAGCACTAAAGTCTAATTTAAAACATTTCCAGTTCTAAGTGTGCTATGTACCTATTATACTCGTAATAAGAAAGTGAAAGGATACGGATACCTTACAGATCTTGGATTTAGTTGTCATAATGAGATAGATTATGTACTATCCAAGTTAGATGTCAACACTGCGATTCCGGCACTTACATATAACTTATATGAAATATGATAGGATGAGCATCAAATAAGATTAATAGGACTATCGTAACGAATTCGTCAGTAATTTACAATAAATGGGTGTGTGTAATGTTTTTTTTGTATTTTATGTAATTTTTATGCATAATTTAAAACAAAATATAAGCTTTCTGCCTACTATATAAACTATAATTGTGCGAAATTTCATAATCGTCACCATCGATCGACCATGCATTTTGCAAAAAGGGCTACAAAGTATTTACTTTACTTATTAAAATATAAATAATTAGATGAAGCTAGAGCTTAGACATTTGGCACATAGTCTATCTTGTGAGAACCCTATCGTATAGATAGATAAAAAGACACGATAATAATAATCCTAGTTACTGGCTTGTTTTAGTTACTACGAGATTATGATATACACACTCATTATCATGTTCGATATTAACAAGAACTGAGCAAGCAAAACAAACATTGTTATTGAAAATAGGTATGTAAATCAATGCTTTACGATTTAAATTTTCCATAATATTATAGTAACACGTGTAGGAGGCAAAGTTTACTAGCATTAACCTATTATTTAGATCACCGTTCGCATTTGTTATACATCTATATTTGACAGCCCCGGTGGCCTAGCGGATTAGCACACAGCTTTACGACCGATGGTCGCGGGTTCCATTCCGCACATAGTACAAACATTTGTATTTATGAGTATGATTGTTTGTCATCTGCATGTAATAATATATATTATATATGTATTTACAACAAGATTACACCTTCATCTCATCGTTTAGTGGCGAAATAAAGAAATAGCTCAAGTAGAATAACTATTACATCATCACTCAAACAAAACAATTTAATATAAGTTTTTGCTTTTTCTTCAAATACTCTAATGCTGTTGGGCGCAGCTGGCCTTTACAGCTTCACCGGACGATAGGAGGTGAGTGCAGATGGCACTACAAATCCGCGGAAGGATTTATGGAGGGGTTGAAAGTAAAATCCCGTCTGAAGGATACGACTTCAGTTTGAGTGCACTGCTAGGGGTTCGAACCTCAGTTCACCCTGTCGTAATTTCGATCACCGTTTGAGTTGGACGGGGGATCGATCGGAGACCGGGGTACCGAGTGCAATTTAACCTATGTATCTAGTAATGTCCATGTCGGGTTGACCTCCACGCGGTTCCCCCTGGAAACCATCATGATAAATTCCTGGTGAATTTGTCACGATGGGCAAACTGACCTGACCTCACGCTCATCTTATCATCCTCCACTGGTGCCCCGCCAGCGTAAACCGTTAGCGCAGGCGGGTGCACCATTCCATTATCATAAAAAAAAATCCTTTAGGGCTACTAATACATTTCTTTTACTCACCCTATAAAGACCTCTGATTCCCTCTGTCCTGTAGATCTTGGACAAGCCGTCAACCATGCCCTTATATCTCTTGTGCTCGGCCAGATGCTCCTCGCTGTACTGCAAGCACAGTCGAGTCTTCACTACCCAGATGGGATTCGTCATAACTAGGGACAGAACCCCAGCTTCGGCGGCCGCCAACATGTGGAGCCCCGGCCCTAGAGGGGTACGAGCGTTCCCCCCCTGAATCCATGTTTTTATTGCGTTATAGCTGAAATTAAACAAAAATAATTATTAATCTCTTCTATAATATTATATTCTTTTCTCAGGACAATTCAAAGCGCCATCAAATCGCAAGCTAAGCTAGGAATAGAATAAGAATAAAATTTATTTCGGAAAACTTAACTTAAGTAACATTTTATCTATGACTCCAGACTAGGTTATGCCTGTATCATGGAAGTCAAATTTAACAGTCAAAGTTACAATGGTACGGTGATCAGAGAGATGATGAAAAGCTGTGAGGACTAATAGTTCCATTGTTAATAGTCTAACCCTATTTCTTCAACCTTCTGTTCCGTCAAGGGGTAAAACGATTGTTAGTTATATTGACTAATGAATCCATGGCTAGCAAAGTACCATGTCAGGTAGAGCTCCACGCGGTTCCCCCTGGAAAACATCGTGATAAATTTCTGGTGAATTTGTCACGATGGGCTTATGTCCATCTTATCATCCTCCACTGGTGCCCCGCTAGGTTAAACCATTCTAGTATTATCAATTAATAAAACCATTGTAGTCTATTCCTAATGAATTCAAACAGTTCTACAAACTGCCACTATAATATTAGTGGATAGGAGAAATCGATTTATCAATAACATTGACATCATTTTGTTAATATAATTGCACCGTGACCAACTGGAAAAAAACTTAACTAATAAAAAGTACTAACAAAAAGCAAAGACATACTACTTTCAGCTAAATATCGGTTGAATAAAAAAGTACATTGTCTACTCGTCTTTAAAAAAAAATCAAAATATGATGGCCTGAAAACTGATATAAACTGAAAATTCAGTTATTCGTTAGTCTACTAACCATTCAAGGCAAAGCAATATATATATTAAATTATCATCCAAATTAAATTTTTAACGATCTTTTCATGAGAACCTTAATGAATAACTAATGTTTTAAATTGATATTAAACCATTTTTTATGTAATATATTAAATAGATGAATATCGTATATTTTTATTAACAGATGCGGCATATGTTATAAGAATTCCAAACAGTATTTTTCCCCTTGCGAAAGTCGTATCCGTCCGGCGGGAGTTAACCTTCAACCACTCCATAAGTCCTTCCGCGAGTTTGGAGTGCCATCTGGACTCGCCTGCAATCGACCGGTGTAATAGTAAAAAAAGAAGTTGTATTGCATTGAACGTTGGACGTTGGAGTGAGTTTTCCGTATTTAGTCTCACATTTGGTTTATTGTGCGTGTAGTGCCAAGAATACTAGAGGCAGCTAAGCTACTTCTAGAAGCAGAAAAGCTTTCTGGGATCGTCAATAATATTTGCTAAATATGTATATTTTCATTAATAAATTAATAGATGGTATCTCAAAAATACCCATCAATAGCGTTCTACAAATCTACACGCGTACGATGTCGCGATCACGAATATCTACAAAATAAGTTTTATTTAACGAATCCTGTATAATTATTGATAATACAATTTATCATTTGGAAATAGTAGTTAAATACGAGCCGTTTACGTGCAATTGACACGTTTGGGTCTACGATGACGCCATGTTGCTCATGACAATGTGGGTGTAATATGCGATTACTCAGAAACACATTGCCGCAAATTATGTTTGGGTATCAAACATGTTGTGTACGAAATCAACATATCCCGTAACTTGGATACGGTTACAACATTGTTACTGAATGGGCTAGGCATTAGACGTTTCCACTAGGTAGGCCGGCAGCAAAAAAAAACCCTAAACAAACAAACATACATGTCACTTCGTTCTTGATTTCTCGTCTTCTAAGCTAGATGACGCGTTATACATACAACATCGAAATGACAATCTACAATATTCGTAATAAAACGTCCAGAACATATGTAGTTGCAATACATACGTGGATTATAATTGTAAAAGTACCTACATTTTAATGAGTTGATTAAGATACATAATTATTACGTAGCCCTAATTAGTAAGCGGCACTAATAGGTTAATGCAATGCTATCAATAAAGTCCATTCTAATACAAAGAAAGTTGGACAATTATCGTAAACTTATACATCGCAGTGAGAGAACTACAACGAAGAACCTAAAACGAATGCAGATAGATTTATTGAAATACGCTTCCGTTCCATCCTATATCCTACTAGCTGTACCCGCGACTTCGTCCGCGTAAATAATGAAAAAATATTTAACACAATTAACACAATATAAGTCAAATAAATAAGTTTCATCGTTTTAGCTTCCAAAATGATAAAAAGTAAAAATAAATATTTAATCAATAGGCTAAAAAATAAATTTCAAGCTTCTAGCTTTAAACATAACGATACATCTATATAACCTTGGATCTACCCTTTCAATCCTCTTGCAACCCTTTTTCACATTAAAAAGTAACCTATGTCCTTTCTCAGGATCTAGTCTATCTATGTCTGTTTCAAATTTCAATTTAAATCGGTTCAGTATTTTTGGCCTGTAAGCGAGACAAACAGACAAAGTTACTTTCACATTAATAATATCAGTAAGGTATTTAATAAACTAACTCTAAAAAGACAAAGAAAAAAGTTTAATCGTTCTAGCTTCCACAACCACACAAACAGCAAATTTCCACAATAACTTTCATTCCCTATTTTATTTTACTACCCCCCTCCCCCTAAGAGTAAAAATTTTACAAACATTGAATGTCATATTTATTGATATTTAAACAACAGCCTAAAAATGAGTCTCAAACTTCTAGTTTTAAAAAATGACGATTCTTCCATACAGCGTACCATTGCAACTCCCTTACAATCCTTTTTTCACATTCAAAAGTACCCTATATTCTTTGTCCGGGTGTAAACTAATTGTGTACCAAATTTCATTTAAATTTTTATTTTGTTTTGGAGCGTAAGACTGACAGAAAGACAAACAGAGTTACTTTCACAGTTATAACATTAGTAGGGTATTTAAAAATCTATCCCAAAAGAACCAATGAAAATAATTTCATCGTTCTAGTTTCAAAAATGACGATTTTACATAAAAACTTGCATCCCCTATTTTATTTTACCCCCTTAAGGGTATTTTTTTACAAACAATAAATGTCATATGTATTTATATTTAATCAACAGTCTCAACAATAAGATTCAAGCTTCTAGCTTCAAAAATGACGTGTTTACATAAAAACTTGCATCCCCTATTTTATTTTACCCCCTTAAGGGTAATTTTTTTACAAACAATGAATGTCATATGTATTTATATTTAATCAACAGTCTCAACAATGAGATTCAAGCTTCTAGCTTCAAAAATGACGTGTTTACATAAAAACTTGTATCCCCTATTTTATTTTACCCCCTTAAGGGTAATTTTTTTACAAACAATGAATGTCATATGTAATTATATTTAATCAACAGTCTCAACAATAAGTTTAAGCTTCTAGCTTCAAAAATGACGAATTTACATAAAAACTTGCATCCCCTATTTTATTTTACCCCCTTAAGGGTAATTTTTTACAAACATTGAATGTCATTTTTATTTATATTTAATCAACAGTCTCAAAAATAAGTTTCAAGCTTCAAAAATTACGATTCTTCCATACAATCTTTCATCCCCCTTTTAACCCCTTACAACCCTTTTTTCGCATTAAAAAGTAGCCTATGTCCGTTCTCAGGGTCTAGACTATCTGTATACCAAATTTCATTCAAATCGGTTCAGTAGTTTTGGCGTGAAAGCGAGACAGACAGACAGAGTTACTTTCACATTTATAATATTAGTTTTTGTCGCAGCACAAAAATATATTTTTATCGTTTCCGTACAAATAATAATTTTACAGTATTAATCTACAAACCAACATTTTGTTTCTTACAATCAGCTAAATAATTTAAATAGTTCCATAATATATGGCACAATGAAAAGGTCATTTATTTTATAAAAAAGACAGTTAGTTTTTATTTTAGTGAAAAATAAGAAAATTCTATTTTGATACAACAACCATATATTTATTAAAGTATAGGTAACTTTATTAATTTTGTGTTAATGCTTTTTAAATAAACACCCACACATTATTTCTGTATAACCTACAAAAATGGGTAAATAATTTAATTTCGGATATTGCCACACCACAACATTCTTTAAAAAATGTAAATAATAAAATGTGAAGAAATTGTGATTGTTATTAAGTTTTTTTTTAAGTTTGTCAGAACAGGGAAACAACATTTGACATTTATTATTATTTAACATTGGACATTGACTTTAATTTTTGTAATTCATATTGTAAAACTTTAAGTTGGGCTAAACTGGGCTTGTATCCAGAGCCGTAAAACAAATTAATAAAAAATATCGCCAAATTTGTCTCGCAATCGGCCAATTTCAGGTTTAAAGAAAAAACACATACACACGATATACGATTTTATCATAAAAAAGTGTCAAAAAACAATATTTTTACTAAACGTCAACGTCATGTTTCCGGCAAGATCTTTCGTTTTACATTATGTTATCTGTGGTTTTGTTCTCTGTGATGGATACCTTATTGGCGCAAAATGCACGCGATGTGTTGATTGGTTGTTAGCTAGTGAAATGAAAAGATGGCGAATGGCGCAAACGCACGCGATGTGTTGATTTGTTGTTAGCTAGTGAAATGAAAAGATGACGAATAAGGATTCAACCGCATAAAGATAACCTTGTATTTCCATTTTGAATCCCTTACAACCCTTTTTACGCATTAAAAAGTAGCCTATGTCCTTCCTCTGCGTCTAGACTATCTGCGTACTAAATTTCATATAAATCGGTTCAGTAGTTTTGGCGTGAAAGCGAGACAGACAGACAGACAGACAGACAGAGTTACTTTCGCATTTATAATATTAGTAAGGATTGCAACAAGGATCTAAATTAGAACGGTCTGACTCTACTAACTCTAGACTAAACTCGTATACACCAGACAGGAGGCCCTAAGTCCTTATGCGAGTTTAAAGTAACATCTGCACTCGCTCCTATTTTCATCCGACGAAGCTGTAAAGGCCAATGTATCCAACAGCATTGTCTAAAAAAAATAGTTGATATTTTTTCAATAGAAGTTCCTTTTATGATCTGCAGGATTTAAAAGTCGTTATTATATGAATCATAATGCTTTCTTTGTTTATTGTTGATTTGCTTTGTTAATCCACCGAGTTTAATAGGCCTCTCGTACTGAGAGCTTGGTGTTAATGAACTAGTATATTTTTATCGTCGGGTTATACGAGTATAAAGTAAAATTGTTACGATTCGTGTAAAGCGGGCCTCTTTATTTCTATTACTTATTATTTCTTTTTTTAAGAACGAATTTTAACTGAGATTTATGCTTACGAATACTACTGGATTCCATTATGTTTACAGTTACAGATGTATACAATTTTAGATCAGTATGGACCCTGTTAGGGCACGCAAACAAAACAAATATATTTTTATAATAAATTATTAATATTTATATTTATTTATACATATAATATAATAATATTCATTTATACTGTATAAACGAATATTATTATATTAATATGATAGGTGTATAAATTATACACCTATCATATTCTAAATTTTATCATTCTAATTTATGTTAGACGCTGTTTTCGTCTATATTTATAAGGTTGATGATTCTTTTGTTTTATTCGGAAAGAAAATTGAATCATAATTTTTGGTATCAAAAATCAATTCTATCACGCTAGAAATTGTCTATTTCAAACAAACAAGTAGTCATTAAATATATAGAACCATTCTTATATTATTTAATGGAAGAAATCCAATGTTTATGATTTTTTAATTACAAAAATAACAATCGTGCAGATATCTAAAACAGGTATCACAGATATTTAAATATAGATGTCTGTCCTTTAGTTTTTGGCATTATCTGCATACTTCTACGTAATAATTAAGGTCATATATGAGTGAAGATGACTTTTAGAAATGCGTTTTGTTTCCCTTCCGTGTTTCGATGTGCAACAATTAACAAAAAAGATGAGGTATTCATTTTATTACATCAGTTATAATGCCTTTAAATTACATATATCCAACCAACCAAAAGTAGTCAATAAATGTTCTACATATATATAAAATATGAAAAAAATCTACAAATATTTATTATTCATTATTCTTTCAGTCTTTCACACACATAAGTAAACAAAAAAAAACAAAGTAAATTTATTCAATTCCTAAAATTTTATGTGTGTATTTATTTTCCATCAACTTCAAAGGATAAAAAAGAGCTTTCTATTTAGACAGTGTTACTAATGTTTTTATTATGGATTCGTATTTGCGTACAATTTTGAACATCTTTTTGAATATTCATTTTTTATATAAGTAGATACATATATTAAAATATACAGTCCTACTGTTAAAATATTACATTTGTATTTCACAATTAATCTTACCCTTTTGCTAATATTTAAAAGCGAAGGTTTGTGAGTAGATAAATAGTATGGATGAATTTCTTTTACTCTTTCACGCAAAAACTACTGAAAGGAATTTGATGAAACTTTACAATAATATACTTTAGCTCATACATAAGAATAACACATAGGCTACACATTTCATGCGGATGATACCGCGGGCACAGCTAGTTTCTGATATAAAATATATAAAATCAAGCTTCTCAGTAGTTTTTTTATAACGTTTATCTTTAAGAGCAAGGTCACGAAATATATATAAAATTATCGGCAGATAAATGATTTTACTGTACACATTTATAATATTCAACTTTATCTGATATTTAAATAGCATTATTTATGCACAGTAATCCAGATAAAGCAGATTCTTCTCTATACCTACAATCCGAATGAAAACCGATCAAAGTGAAATTTCAATTAGCAATAATGTTCCGAGACTTGATTACATGCAGCTCCTTTACAATACATACATATGTAGAACAAACCAAGTTGTACGGGCTGCAAGTACAATTGTAAAATAATTTATACGAGTATGAGTATATAACTAGATACAACGAGATATAAGGAGAACGTCGACGCGACTTACACCCAAAAGATCGTGAGTTCAAATCTGGGCGATACTAGAAAACAATATCTTGTTTGTCAATTTATATTTCTTACTCTCCGGTATAGGAAACACCGATAACAAAACCAAAAGTTAAACCGAGAGATTACAGTGGTAGGTTTGCCCACTGTCACATTAGATTCAAATAGATCCAGCAAAATATGTATGTATAATACTATGTAGCACCACGTGTAGCTTTCATCATGACGTCTTTTCGACCTTATAAGTTATTCAGCAAATATGATACTAATACAAATATATAATTGTTTTAAGACCAAAATAAGCATGCAAAAAATTTCATTCAGTTTTAACACTCACAAAAGGAAATAAAATCCCCAAGCTGACCCGGAGCCCCAAACGTTGGGAGTGACGCCTCTGTAGAGTCCTTTTACTCCCTCCTTCTTGACTATGGTTACGAAAGCGCTGCCAAGGCCATCGTATCTAGGTACTGTAGCGGTCCTGCCGTCGTTTACTGCAACACAATGCTAACATTACTACTTTGTGGTTACCAGTTTGATATAATCTACAAGTCATAGTGCAATACTATATAAAATTGGGCTAGCGTGAGTCAAACTTAGGGTAAATCCATACTAATATTATAAGTGGGAAACCCTGTCTATTTGTTACCCTTTCATGTCTGAAACGAATGTTCATCAATGAAATTAAGTAAAAAAAATACTTATTCACAAGCTGTGCCATCAATTTCACCCGCAAGAAATGTATGACCTTTGTGTCATTATAAAGTATAAATTAGACTATACATGGGTGGCAAACGGCCCAATACAGCCCATCTAATGGTAAACGGTTAACGTTACATGTCCGTGCCGACCCTTAAGAAACCTTAAAATACCCTTCTTTAAAAAACCCTTACTGTAGTCTCTCGAGAAAACCTTGGCAGGTAGTTCATTCCGCAATCTAAGTGTACGCGGGAAAAAGCTCCTCTAAAACCGCACTATCCGAGACCACTTAAGTTCCAGCGTGTTGGGATGAACTGTTCGGAAAAAATCTGTTCAGTAATTATCGCGTGAAAGGGTAACAATAATCCATCCAATCATCTATCCATCATTCCTCGCGATTTTTCGCGTTTATATTAGTAAGATATAGGACCTTGCAGCCTTTCATTGACGTCATAAATTTCTATCTCAATATACCATGAAATAATAACATGAAATAAGGACATATTGCAGCAATGGAACCACTAGTCCCCTTTAATAACAATTTCTCCCTTGACTAATGCTAGTAATAAAGACTATAATTGGTTTCATTACTAACAATGCATCCTGTCAGATCGACCTCCACGTGGATGTGTAGTGTCGCAGTTTAATTAAAAATATCAAAAAAATTAAGCACGTGTAGAATTGTAATCAGGCTAATTTTAATAATGGTCGGTGTTTACTGACTGAAAACACTCGGGATGATTTTCTATATTGACATTTTACTTTGAAATTTATTCCACTGAAAATATTTAACACTCTCACACATGTAAGGATACTATTTAAAATAAAAATGCAACATAAATTAACACATGGTGTGCAAAATAATATCTTTGTTGTATATGTCATAAAGCTCAAAATAGAATATGACTGTGTTGCACAGTAATTGCCAACAATGATGTCAAAGCCATCTCATTTATTCATTGACATTCAGAGAAACAAAGGTATTAAAATATTTCAACTTTCAATCAAGAATGTTGGTATTTCTATTGATGATTGTAAAATTAATGTAAACTAGTTTTTGGGTATAACTTTGTTATATAATCATGATTGGTAGGGATAAAAAAATAGCTTACATCCATCAGTATGTTACCTTCTATACATATATACCAAAATAATGGATTAATTAAAATATTATGGTACCAAACTTTAACATGCAAACATATTTACGCATTACCATTATAGTATTAAGATACATATAAAATAAAAATCTAATCAATATATACAAAACTACTAGGTCGTAAATAAAAATTAATATAAGAAAATATTTGTATATACATATATATGTAATTTATGTGTATTAAAATGATATATGTATATGTATATGTGTTATTTATGTGTATAAATAATAAATTTAATTATTGCATATATCATCTATCTACCCCTCTAAAGAAGCTGTCAGGAATAATACTCAACCTTTGTCATGGGGTAAAATTAAATGAAGACAATAAAAAATTGTAATGCAATGTAATGCAAAGTACATTCACCTTTATACTATTCACACAATGGTGTATGAATAGTTATTTACGAACATGTCTAAAAAATATTCCCACCTTACAGTTACACCTTGAATGTAGATATTTGTTTTTTTTTATACTACAATGGTGGCAATCAAGCACTAAACACTATTTCAAGATTAGTATACAATAACACCCTGCTTAACATGGGAACAAAACAGTGTTAAAAAAGACTATCTTCCTTTTCTTTGGAGTCACGACTAACAATATTTTTTTTCTTCTTGCTCAGTTAATTCTTTGAGCTCAATATTAGAAAGACTAGCTGCTGTTTCTAGAACTATTTCCTTAATGTCTTTCTGTTATGTTCCGAATCCCCAGTTTGAAATAAAGGAGCACTAAACCGAAAGTGTTAAGCTAGGTCTTAATGTATACTTAATAGTATTGTAATATTGGTCATAAGTACTATGTTTGGATTCAATCACTGTTTCTTTATTGATAATATTAATAGATTTCTATCATGTTTTTCAGTTAGGCCTATATTTAGTATGACTCATTCAAATGTACATAACAAATTTACTAACTAGAATAACATGTTTATGTTTAAAGGTAACAGCAAAGTAGTCAGACATGTGACTGTAATACATGTAGAGCAATATATAAGTGTTTATTTCACTACTGCTCTGTGAAGGCATTTAATTCAATAATATAAATATTTACACCAAATACCAGTATATACATATTCTATATTGTAAAACAGACAAAACTAAAACTAAAAATAAAGAAATTAACAGGGGGATGTTTTGAAGGAGAAATTGTGAATAAGATATGATCTCGTGAATGTCAAACTATATAACTTAGTCTATTAAAAATTACCAACCCTCTGCCGAAAAACAAAATAAATTAATAGGTAGCTGTGCCATCTGCCAATTGAATTCTCAGTCAAATGTGGGCATAACATAGGATGCATTCTAGAACATTAACAGTTGACAGTACCTCCTACTACTTTATCAGGTATTATAGTTGTCAATCAATTATTGTTTCTTTTACTAAACAACTAATAACTATTTAGACTCTAAAGTGACTGTAACAAAGGGAGTTCCATGAGAGTAATGTAAACAAAGAGGCTGATCACTGTACTTTCACTGTAAAATGAAGTTCAAGGTCAAATCTGTGAGATCGCGCGAGATCATACGATCAATTTATGTTACATAAACGAATGGTCAGAATTTTCGCCAAAAGTCATATGAGCGATCGATAGGTTAACCTCGTAACATGCTAAGAACAGATTCACATGGGCTTAGAATACAGTAGACACTTACCAGCAAATCTAATTTTTATCAAATCCAGAGGGTGCAAAATTAAAGTGGATGTCACGCCACCTGATATACCAGCTACCAGGTGCTCGTATTTTATATGGCTGAGCAGAGCAAGCTTAGAAGACGATGAATTAGGATTTTTCATTGTAGTCATGACGTTTAAACTAGATCACAGACGAAACTTCTTTACACATCTTGCGAGACCGTAATTAAGCTTATATCTACCGGCACACACTTTCCCAGAATTCGTTTACTAAATTTAATAAAAAACAGTCTCCACTTATCATATTGCTCATAAAATAATCCCACGAAATAACGTGTGAATACAAGGAATTTTAAGAAATTAATGAATGAGAATGATTGAAATGTATGCAAATGAACGAATGAACTACTTTTATTGAATGAAAACTAAATGAATGGATAACGAAACGAACTTTTTTTTAATTTGTTTCTAAATTACGTCTTAGGAGCACAAGTTGTAAATTATATTGATAGATCGATAGTAAGTTTTACAATAATACATATTATAAATCAACTAAAAAATATATATATACTTAATATGAACCAAAAATTAATATGGCTGTTAACTCTTGCTTTTCTATGAGAATAGTAACTACCTAATGAAATAAAGGCTATTTTCATTTTACTATTTGTTTTATGATTACAAAAAGTACTAACAGCATTCAAGATTCAAGATTCAAGGTATTGTTAGGTTAACTCTAACGAGTAAAGTAAATATCATCATCTCAGCCCGGAAGTCGTCCACTGCTGAACAAAGGCCACTCCCAAGGATCTCCACTACGATCGCGGTCGCCACTCGAGGACATTACTGCCCCAACGACCATCTGTCCTAAGAGCTATGTGCCCTGTCCATTGCCACTTCACTTTTGCAATTCTTCGGGCTATGTTGGTCACTGTCAAAGTCATATACTAATGGTTAACTCAGATTAATATTTATCGCGATGATAATTAACCTTAATTGTCTATGATTTAATCTGGCCAACATAAGCAAATGGCAACATTTTAATATTAATCAATCCACCATAAATTTTCATTTTGACAGCCTGAACCAACTATTGCCCATATATTACGTAAATCCATAGTTTTTAACTTAAATTTGATTACAAGGATTTCAAGAAAATGCTGAAAGTGGCGACAACTTTGAGATTAGTCTCAAATCCGGGCAATCAGGTACGATGTTTAGCCACCGCCGTTGGATATAAGCAGGCGTTAGTCAATGTTCCGCCGACAAAGCTCACAGTTCTTGATAATGGTATCCGCGTTGCCTCGGAAGATTCCGGTGCCCCTACTGCCACCGTAGGTCTGTGGATCGATGCTGGCTCCAGATATGAAACAACTAAGAATAATGGGGTCGCTCATTTTCTCGAGCATATGGCTTTCAAAGGTACCAGCAAAAGGTCACAAACTGACTTGGAACTACTCGTTGAAAATAAAGGTGCTCATTTGAACGCTTACACTTCTCGCGAACAAACCGTATTCTACGCTAAATGTCTCGCGAACGACGTACCAGTCGCTGTTGAAATCCTTGCTGATATTATTCAGAATTCATCTCTCGCTGAACCCGAAATCGAACGAGAACGAGGTGTCATCCTACGAGAAATGCAGGATGTCGAGAGCAACCTTCAAGAGGTTGTATTCGACCATCTCCACGCCACAGCCTTCCAGGGCACACCACTAGGTCAGACCATACTTGGACCCACCAAGAACATTAAAAAGATCTCTAAGTCTGACCTCCAGACATACATTAAATCTCACTATCAACCTGGTCGCATTGTCCTCTCTGGTGCAGGTGGAGTTGAACATGAAAGATTGGTTGAACTTGCCAATAAGCATTTCAGTGGATTAAAGAACACAAGTTCTGGAATAGAATTGACCCCTTGCCGTTATACAGGCTCGGAAATTCGTGTCAGAGATGACTCAATGCCACTGGCACATGTTGCCATTGCTGTAGAAGGTGCTGGATGGACTGATGCTGATAACATCCCTCTGATGGTAGCCAACACCTTAATCGGAGCGTGGGACAGGTCTCAGGGTGGTGGTGGCAACAATGCTTCTACTTTGGCTCGTGCTGCTGCTTCTGAAGGCCTTTGCCACAGTTTCCAATCCTTCAATACATGCTACAAGGACACTGGTTTATGGGGTATTTATTTCGTTGCTGAACCCCTTCAACTAGAATATATTTTGTACAATATTCAAAATGAATGGATGAAGTTATGCACATCTGTCACTGAAGGAGAAGTAGAGCGTGCAAAGAACTTGTTGAAAACCAATATGCTTCTCCAACTTGATGGCACCACACCAGTCTGTGAAGATATTGGCCGTCAGATCCTGTGCTATAACCGCCGCATCCCTATTCATGAATTAGATGCCCGTATTGATGCAGTTACTGTACAAAATGTCCGTGATGTTTGCTATAAATATCTATATGACCGTTGCCCTGCTATCGCGGCCGTAGGTCCTACAGAAGGTCTGCCCGACTACACTAGAATCCGTGGTGGAATGTACTGGCTCCGAGCATAAAATGTAGTAGTGTATTTTTAGAATTGTTATTTAAATCAAATAAGATCAAGAAAACACATTAAAATGCTCACCCAATGTCTGTTGTTTTATTAAATTAAAACAAAACGTCTTGGTGATTAACATGTATTTACTATAGGAGAATAAGTAAATAAAATGTGTATGTAAATAAAACAATTTGTTTTTGTATCAGTTTTATTTTTGTTATAACCTGCTTTAATTTCTGTAAGCAAGTACAAACATATTGTAAAACTACATAAATTACAGTAAATTAGTGAATATAAATGTATATCACTGCTACTGAAGAATTGTCATACAATTATGTAGACAATAATAAACATTGATTTGCCTACCTGCCTCCCATTCCACTTTTAAAAAAAATATACATTTTGTCATAAAGCAGTATTGTTTTGAATTAATTATAAAACCGTAATTCTTGCTGAAGAATAAATAGCCTACAGTAACATCGCTATTAATGTTGTTAAACCTCATTGTTTATACATTTTTAATTTATAAATATATATATAACATTTTCTATCATTATTCTTTGGTTTTTTCAACCAAATTATTTTCCAGAATCTTTATATCATTCAAGCCAAATTCCTAGAAAATATATTTCAATGGAGGTAAACTACAGTTATCAATAATTTTTCCTTGTTTAGTACAAATTATTATGTAACGCCGACACTGACATGCAACCCGCCTAATAATACTGGTTGGCTACTGTCACCAAAATAATATTGATTCTTTTAAAAATATTACTCCTTACATCCCATCAGATAGAGCATCAATTTATTGGGTTATCTAAATTATATAAAAATAATGTTTTTTATTGAAGTCATTATAAAATAAATAAATTCACAATTACTAACATGTAATATAAATATTTAATAAAAAAAAATCTGTAGTACAATTGAACTTAAATAAATAATAAATAAACAATTTATTTGCAGAACATAGTGCTGTAACGTAATTTTTATTAAAGATATTTTGCATTTGGAAATTTTACACATTAGCAACAGAACTAGTGCTAACCTGCAACTGCGCTGTTGCAGTTGCAGTTGCAGGTTTTTCTTCCTTCTCCTGCACCATGGCAACACTCGGCTTGCGCACTGTACTGGTTTTCCTCTTTTTGCCGAATGGCAATACTGGCTCACTGTGACTAATCAAACTGGCAGAAGATATGAAGACAGAAACTTGCTCGTGGGTTGGGCAGGCAACTATGAGGGTGTCTTCATAACTGTAGCCTGCGTTAGTCAGAGTTTGCTCGATCTGCACGAAGTAGCCAACAACATTATTCTGTAAATAATAAACAAAAATTAATAAGGATCTTTTTGCGACTCACCAGTATGGTCTCTCATTTGGGCCGTTGTGCATGTAGAGTCGAGACTACTAAAGTAGCCGACCAAGCTCCTCCGAGAAGCGCAAAAGACTCCTGGCGTCTTCACAGGCTTCGCGGAGCGACCTCACCGTTCCGAGGATTTGTGTTCGTTGTATGGCCACTGCTGCGCACACCAGGATTACGTGAGCGGCCGTTTTTTCGGCTTCAAAGCAGCCTCGATAAAGGGGACTGTCCGTAGCACCGATTGTGTACAGATGTTTGTTTAAGGGACAGTGGCCCGTTATTGTCCCTATCATTATTTTAAGGTTTTGCCTATTTAGGTTTAATAGACGTTTTGTGAGTCGTGGGTTTGTTATTGGAATTGCACCCTTCGATTGTTTACAATCAGTGGTTTGGGTCCGTAGTGGACCCAAACCACTGATTGTAAACAATCGAAGGTGTAGGTATATAATATATGAAAGTGCCAAGCTACGTACTACTGGTATACTGGGGGGAGGGAATAGTTAGTGGCCCCACTGCAAGTAATATACCATTTTTAGGTCTGCCTCCACTAACTATGATGTTACCCTGGGAGGGCCTTGGTTATTATTATCTAGTATAGACCATAGTTACTTCATGATAAATTCGTTACGATGGCATAGTAATATTATATACATAGTATTCTATCGTAATTAATTTATCAGAGGATGAGCTGTGAATTAGAATTATAAGGATATATATTTTAATTTACTAGTATCGTTGTAGCTGTGACGAGGTCGTGTGGAATGAGTAGTCATGCTCACTAAAATGTCCAGACATGTGGCGGCGTGGTGGGCCGGGTCAATGGGCTCCCTAAAATATGGTCGAGCGCAGTGATGGCTGGCTCATCCGTCATACTCGTGAACGAGTGCTGCTTGTAGGGACTGGTCTGCTCTTATCACTACGACTGATTTAATCTTATTGCATGATTATATTTGACCCAAAAAATTAGTGTTTGTTGGTAGTTTGTATTCACACGTTTCGACTTGTAAATGTAAACTTACAAGGATTATTTAAAAGAGCAACACACAAGTTTCTTGCTCGTTCTTCTTGTGATGAGACAGCTTTCCGAACGAGTGGTAGATAAAAAACAAATTGTTATGACTATTCAAAAGTGCTTAAATTAAGTTTATTTGAATAAATGATTTTCTATTTCTATTTCTATTTCTAAGTTGCTTACTAACATAATATGGATGGCTATCCGAATTAAATGACTAAAATAAAAAAAAAAATGGCTTCATGCTACGTAGCATTATCCTATCATCATCTGTTATCACAACACACCGCAGGTCCACCACTCCATTATCATTAAGTCATCATTTACCGTATGTGTCACCACTCATGGCTAAAATGTCATTACTCCAAATCCTATAATTTCACTGTCTTATTTCAGACAGACGACTTTATATAAGGTTTACGTTGGTAAACAAAGATTATACTAATAAGAATAAGAAAACCTTATATTTACCCTTATAGGCCTAAACAGAATACATTCTGTTTCCTTATTAGCTAAATACAGTTGCATAGAGCGTTGTAAAGGAGCGAGGTGCGTCTTGATCCTTTTTTGGGCTTCCTTCACGACTGTTGCAGTTTCTTCCGGCGTCGCCCATGGTTGTGATTTTAACTGTTCAATTGGAGTGAATACTTGAGCCTAGAAAATAAAAATATTTTTTTTTTTATAAATTCAATTCTTACAATTAAAATTTAATTCTTACAAGTGAAAAAAGTATGTAAGACCAATGGTATATAATGCGAAACGCAAAAATAAATTGAAATGATAATTTTCTATATTCCAAATAAGTTGAAAAATTCAGATCCAATAAGAGAAATATTATTAATATTTACAATTTTATTTTGATTATTGCATAGGTCTATAGTTATAACTATAGACCTATGCAATAATCAAAATTACCTTTTCAATATATGTGATCAATGATCCTGCTAATATTTCCGTGGCATCTTTAATAAATAATTCGCAGCAAGCCTTCAACTGTCTATCAACCTCCTTTCTAGAGTCCAAGAGGTGCTCCTTCACCATTGGAGTACCTTCTAATAGAAATTCTAGTAATGCGTTATTGCTATTCAACGAAAATATTTGTTTAGGCTTCTGTATCAATCCATATGCTGCATTTTTAACATTGCTAAAATCTAACACAGTCTCTTTAATTACGAAATCCACTTGGAATGGTGCTATTTGTTCTCTCAATATTAATAAATGTTTTATTTGGAATAACTCCCCGTCAATGTTAGTTCTGGTTGCAGAGATTTGCTGCGCAGCGTTGTTAATACTTTGTACGCAGAGTGAAATCGCCTCCTGAGCAAGTCCTTGGAATACTTTCTTTTCGAGACATCTGTATAGTCTAGAAAGTGCTGCTAATGTTCTTCTCACTGCTGGATACCACATGCCGTGAAGGTCTGCTGGCGAGGCTTGGGGCCTGCGCTGGGCATCGACATTTATATTAGCGACTTCTTGGGAGGTCGCAGAAATATCAGATGTCATAGAGTTGCGAGAATCGCTGCGCTTAAGACTTTGATCTTGGAGAGACATGGCGATTTGCTGTTAATTAGAAACTATATTTATATAATTTTATTAGTAGAGTAAAGTATATATTTGTATTTATTAAACTTTGTAAAAAAAAATACTGTTTTCGAACATAGATATATTTTTGATTTTGATTGTTATCTAATTTTTTCAAGTCTTTTTTTCAAACCATACGTTCATTTTTTCAAAACCATAATAAAACAAATAACATCCACATCCAGAAAACAGCTCGAACAGCGTTATTTTTCTTTTGTAGTAGTGTAGTGTAATTTCCTAGTGATGTCTTCCTAAAACCTAATATTTAAGTTTCTTAAGTGAACAATTCATTTCATTAATGTTACTAATTATGTATATTACATAAGAATTTTAGAAAGGCTAAGGTGGTGGTTCATTAAAGGTTGGGATACACTAATCTAGGTCTCTAGGATATGGTAAATTTTTTTATGAAAGGATAAGATGTAACCTCCATCATCTCGAGCTTGTCGGGGTAGGCGAGGTCCCCAGGTGCGGGCCGGTAGTGCAGTACGTCGGTGCGTAGATGCACGTGTGCACGAAACACGAGCCGTTCTTGTGCGTCCTGTAATAGTGCCCGCGCCGCCGCTCCCAGTGCGCGAAGTGATCCGCGCTCTGTACACGTACATACATGTATACTTTGTTAGTATAGAGTGAAAGCTTTTCAATGGGTGGTCTAATAGAAACTCTGTTTCTTTTTTTTTATGTAATTGGAAGACCCACTTGATAATGGCGATTCTCGACTATATAAATAGTGCCACCACTATTATATCAAGTTGATACCTCTCAAGAAACCATAATGTAGGGTACATTATGGTTTCTTGAAAAACTCTATGCTGTAGTCTCTTGAGAAAACCTCGGCATGTAATTCAATCCACGAACTAAATGTTTGCGGGAGGTAACTCCTCTAAAACCACACTGTTCTAGACCACTTAGGGTCCAGTATATGGGATGAATTCCCTGTTGATGGCGAGCGGTGCTTTGGTAAACGATAGCCATGGGAAGAATTGTCGAACAAGTTAATATAAATGAACTTACGATCACTATTGACTTGCTCTTCGATAACTTCCACTCGCAATATAACGCACAGTTCAGCGAGTGTTTCCAAGTGGTTAATGTGTATGATATGCGGTCGTAGCGTCTCGTACAGTCCGTTACACAGCGATTGTAGATACTCTCTGAAAACATAATTAACTTGTGTATCATTTCTTTGAAATGATAATTTACTAGACTACTTATATAAGATTATCTAGATGTCCAGTTCTATTAAAGTAGATGAAAAACAGCTTAGAATAACAGATTATTTAAAACTTACTACTTAAAAATTATTCCATACTTTCAACATTATATTCCGACAAATTTTATAAAAAAAAATTACCCCCATGTTTTCCAAGCATATATTGACATCTCAAATTTTTCTATTTAATAATTCGCAACGAAGGCTAACTAACTGGATTGATTACATGCTCATCATCTTTCACTAGTGCACCATCCTCACACAGCGGCATCCACTCCTAAGCAAAGCTTGTGTTACAGGTACTGGACTGACAGAAATACTTAAATACATTTTTTGTAAATATATACATAATAGATGTCTAAAAAAACTCAGACCGATACAGACAATTATATTCATGAATACCAAATATTTGCATAATGCTAGAAATCCAATCCAGGACCAAGAAACAAAGCGTGTACTAAAGTTTGTCTGGAAAAACATATCATAAGCGATAAGGTCGTCTTTTTTATCTTATAATTAACTTTTTACCCTATATAATTATATCCCTGTAATATATCTGGTACAATAAATAAAAATAAATAACAATTTTACATTTGCCATATCAACCACATAAAAGCAGCAAAGCTACGTACTCGAGCGCGGGCGAGGGCTGTCGGAAGAAGTGATCGTAGAGCGCGCACTCGTCCCGGCACGCGTGCGCGAGCAGCGAGCACGCGGCGCGCGCCAGCCCGCAGTGGTCGCGCACGTGCGCGCGGGCAGCCGCCGCCAGCGCCGCGGCCGCAGCTCCACCCGCCACGCGCGCGCGTTCGCTGCTGTACGCGCGCTGAATCTCCGATAACACCGCCAAGTATCTGCGCAGACACTCACCATGGTTAACTGTCCTACGCCACATGGCTAGAGTAGTAAATAGAAAAAAACTACAAACCTAGCTGCACCCGCAAACTGCCTCAGCTATCAGCCAATAAAAGTCCCGTCAAAAAAGGTCCAGCCATTTAGCTTAGAGATTAACCGGAACAAACAGACAGACAAAAATTGAAAAAAATGACATTTCATAGTTCATATGCATGTAGTAAAAACGGTTATTACAATATTACAGACACTCCAGTTTTATTTATATGTATGGATGTGTGTATGACTACCGAAGGTCTTCATAGCATAGTTACTTTTATTAAGTACGTATAATACATTTTTATGAATCTGAAAAGATCGGTACATTGTCACGTGCACGGTCTATAATACCAAGTGGCTACAGTAATAAGATGGAATGTCGACCGACGTGCGGTACACTGCCACACGCTTGCTCTAATGCCACGTGGCTACTGTACTAAATAAAATAAATATCGACCGCGGCCCTAATCATGTAACAATGTTATTACCAATTCTCAATTGCAAGGCATTCAAATTAAATTGTATTATATATGAACCATTTAGTAAGTGATGTGATATAAACTGCAATTGTAACTGTTATATGGTCCCTACATAACTGCAAATTAATATAATTTAGAATTCTTAACACTGTTTAATGCATACCTGAAATGTAAAATCATAAACAAGTTGATGGTCCACTCAATGAAAAGTCGTAACCAGTACATAAATGTGGATGCATTGCCATTTTGGATAATGACTAATGTCATGAGACCTTACTCTGTTATTTCACTTAAAGTAAAAAATATAATCAGAACATATTTGATGTACATAAAGTAATCTTATTCTATCACCAGAAATAAAATGCATACTCAGCATTAACTTCAGCCCTTTTTTCGATTTCGCTTATGACCAACTTCAACTTGGGTGCAGCAGCTTGAAACTTCCCAAAGTAAACTGCATATGCCGTGTCAATGGTCTCTTGGTCCGTCTGGTCCTCGTCTGCGGGAGCTAGTACTTGTTCCGTAGCATGATTCAGCACATGATTAACGTAGGATCGGATGAGTGATATCGCACGGTTCTGGAGATGCCTGTACTTAACTATGTAGGTATGTGATTCCTTGAAGGAGTTCTGTAATTACATTATTATATAATTAACAAATGTATAATTAATTCAGTAGTACAAACACATTTAATGTATAATCAGTTCATTAGTTTTTATATTATGATATACCTATATAAAACTGGCAACTTAAAAGTGGTATTTGTCATCTTTTGATATATAAAACTGTGAGAATACAGAAATTTTACTGTTATATGTTCAATTTTGTCATGCTATTTTATATTTTGACTATGAAACTAAACGACAAAGCATTACAAATACTTCAATACATTTTTTTAAATGATAGACAATATGCAGACAAATACAAATAATCATACTCTCGAATATAAATGTTTGTAAAATGCGAAAAATCTAATGGTTTCTAAACCTCTAAAAATATATCTTTATTAGCTTGTATGTTGGACTCCATTCTCCGCAATTAGCCTCACATTCGGGCCGTTGTGCGTGTGGATTCTTTATTAGCTTATTATATAATGTCAGAGAGAAGAGTGTTTACAATTCCTGATGTGACATTATGGTTATTATACAAGTATTAATTTCTGATGTAAAAATTACAAATTATTCAAGTACTTACATTATTCCTCATATAATCCAAGCATTCATCAATCTTGGCAAGAACAATAAAGAATGTTTCACTATTCACAGACAATGTTGGGCTGCTCAGTCTCTGAGACAAATGTTCCACTTGGGTGAAATAATGTAGCTTATTTTTTATGTCCTCCCCTACAAAATATAATAATAATATATCTTTATTGGGCATAAAAAATTAAAAAAAATCAATCTTTTACAGACAACCTACATAGGATGTCCATAATAATTTATGGCAATAAAGAAATAATAAGTATTAGGAAAAAACATCATACTATTTTATAATTGTGACAATAATATAAAAACCTTATAAATATATAATAACTTATTCAAAATTAGAATAACTAAATACCAACTATTACAAATTAAGAGTGTATAATATTTATCTACTTTATTTAGTTTCTTTAATTTCTATATTAACGTAATACTAATCGAAAAAGCATACCCATATAACAAGCCACTTGACGAGTGTTAATAGCTCCAAATACTTTGTATGAGACTTATCATCAATTGGACTATTATAATTTGACGTAATGATGAGTGGCAAAATATTTTACTTTTAATACTTACCAATGCTGGATAATTTATTTTGATCAGCCAACAGTTGTTCACTCATTGTGTGTAATGCATTTGTTTTGTTTGAGACTAACTCATATTGTTCAGATAGTTTTTTCAAATCTGCCATTGTTGCATCTATCTGAAAGGAAAGTGATCAACATTATTTGTTAGAGGTACATCACACTATTTTAAAAGATAAAAAGTAATACACTGCATTTAAAAAAAAATTAATTTATAAATTATATACAAGTATTTATTTTATATGTTCTTCAGTTCTAATACAGATCAGTGTTTGTTAAATTTTCTCAATTTAATAACTTAACATATAAACAAAATATAGATTCAATATATCCATTAACCAATTGTGATAAATTTGATGTGTTGTGATCAACATTAACGTGACATGGTTCATAGCTACCAATGGTGTTATTAGTCCACATTACTAATGCTAGCAGGGTATAGCATATACTGTTAGCGCAGACTGGTGCACCATTCAATATTCATATTGGAAAACAAAAAAATACCTGCAGTGAAATTACAGGATATAGATGTATATCTTAGTTCTTCGATATGGCAATATAAAAGTGATACTACACTGATATGACTGTGATATATATGAATTGGTAATGACTCAGGTGATTCATAAATAAAAAAACAACTTAAATAAACATTTAATAATTATATCTAATAATTTATAATATGTAATGTCATTGCAACATACCTGATCAGTTAAAGAAATGCATTCATTTTTCCTTTCTTCCAACTGTTTATAATATGTTTCATATGGTTTATCATCAGCCTTTACAGTACTTTCATATAGGCTCTCGTACCATTCCAGAAAGTCATATGTTGTGTCCACCGAGGGAACTATATCTTTTATTATATCATTATCCACTTTAGTCTGAGGTTTTTCCTAGAGCAAAAAGAAATATTACAGCTGTGCCAATTTATTTAGCTAAAGGCCTTCATAATTCTACAATTATTAGTATTTCCTCTTTTTTACTAGTTATTTTATTTCATGATAACATCATCAGTGATTTAAATAAAAAAAACTAGAAGGTAATAAGGAGTTTAGATTTAATGGATAAAAGGAATTTCCAGTGTTTTTCTATAAATTATAAGTAATATAATATAGTAATTGATACAAACTTCGTCGGTGTCATTTGTTCCACCGAGTATAAGTGCTTCTAAATCAAGTATAGCTTCTCTTTGCTCAGAAGTAAGTGGTGCTAAAGCATTGTCTGAACCTTCCCAAAGTAACAATTTAGTTTGTATTTCTTTTAAGCTCATATTATTATCCATTTTCAACTACTAAATAAAAATATTTAGTACTGTTTAGTTGGCTTCACAGAGTAAATTCGTATTAGTTGGCCTATTATATCTATGTACTGACATTGACAACGGAAGGACTGTAATTGACACTATCTGTCAGTCAGTGTTTAGCAGATTCAATATCATGCTTTTGCTAAATGTTTAACCGAACAATTAAACTAAACTTAACTTATCTACTAAATTATTCGATTAATTGTTATTGTATAGTCCGAAACACTCTGGTTAGGGTCTTCTATTTACTAAATAAAATTGGTTCGTATCTTGATAATTGACTTGTTGTATCCGTAACACTTAGATGTTTACTAAAAATTATATTTTAAAAGGATTATTCCGTAAAAAGTTCCATGTCAACTTTATCAACATCTCTTAATCTCATTGTAACGGCTACTTGGCATTTTGGCACCATTAGATTAGCTTCTTTTAACTCAGGCAAATTTATGTCAACAAATATTATGTAGTCAGAGACTGTACATTGACTGATTGGTATGGAATTAGAAGGAATATCCATTCAATCCAGAACCACAAACCTTTGTTTATAAAAAAGTGTGAAAATTGAATTTCAAGGATTATTAAGTCCATCTTTCACCACAATTATGTGTTCATACTTTATGTTCTATATCTTTGATAGTGTATATTTCTACTAGCAACATCATCTACGTGTGAGATAATTATGTTCTTGAATTAGGTTTTAAAGTAAAAACACCATTCAAACCGTAATTATTTTGAATTACTAAGAAAGGTGAATCAAAATTCGTGATTGAATCAGTTATAATCCTATTCAATCCCTTTCTAAATAATTGTAGCATAAAGCATAATTTACTTTTAGTACTGGTTGCTTAAGCTTACTTATATATTATCACCAGATGGCGCTGTAGAGTTATTTTAGCATGACTGAATTAGAATTATCACTAAAGACCAATAGATGGCAATGGTATCGCGAATTGTTAATAGGATTGATCTTATAGATCACCAAAACCATTGCCAACAAGGGTTGCCAACACTACGAGGACCTTCGTACCGGTTTCTAATTTGTGTTTTAATAGTTTGCTACTATAAAATAATATAACAGATTTTTTGGATAGGTGAATATGTAATGCACTATAAACCAGCCTGCATTAATTATATAAGTATCCTAACGGGACATCTTAAGGAAATTATATAAAGTCAAGTCAGTTTGATCATCGTGGTGGATTCAACAAGAATCAACCATTTTCACAAGGTACCACGTAGTTGTCAAAAGGACATGGGAATTTTCTAACAATCCCGTTTATATAGAAGCAATAACCGTAGAGTTTAACTGTCCCATTATGAATTTAACTTTTTATGTTGATAAGCGCTAATCGTTGCTTATATAGGTACATAAAAGCACTACCATTTTAGAGATTAAAGATGTCGCTCCGTATCCTGGATTTTTACTACCCAACTGAAATAGCTTACAAACCAAGCTGTTGGTCTGAATAGGTAAAACTGACTGCCTCTGGTAAACAAATTAAATAATTCCTATTTTGTAGCATTTAATGCCATTAAAAGAATTGTAGCTCATTTCTATTGTCACACGAGATTCATAATTGGGTAGGCAGATATAACTGCGTGCTAGTGGCAACATACTTTTGCCTAAGTATTTAAAAAAAATACACCAGTTTAATAGGTGTTACTATAATTTCAGTGAGTACTTACCTGTTTCAGGAAATAATAAATTTGTACATCTATATTTAGGATTGAAGGATGTAGGATACGGGTAATGTAGGCCACAATAACAAAGACAACGTATTTAAAGTTTTGTATTTATTGGATATGAGGAACCTTTCTGTTCAACATAAGCTACAATGGACATTCTCTGTATATATTTACACATTCAGTATCATATAATTCATATCTATATTAGGGTAATGCTTGTAGGAGCTAATTACTGTATATTCACAATAATCACGATGACCTAACTTCATCTATACACATAGCGTTGTACAAAATATTATTCTATAGGTAAAATAGTCACACTAGAACTGCTGGGACGGTCCATCCTTACTTTGGCATTCAACTGCTCCTAAACCACTCAGCCTTACACTTTCCATTCCACACATTGTCACCAGCGATTCTTTGTTCGGTTCTCTAAATATTACAGTGAAGCTAGTATTAAATACAGCAAATATTTAATTTATATATTTTAGATATATCTCTTGCCTTTTCTGCCTTCTTGTCTATACAGACCAAGGGATAGGATCCCTCCATCACATTCTTTCATTATTTATGTACATCATTCCCTATTTACGAATCTATTACAACTTGTACTATATACAAACAATTTAATTATTAAAAAATACAATGTTAAATTGCTATAACGTCTATTAGTGATACAGCTGATATACTTAGGGCTGGAATAGAAATGTATTTTTTTTTTCATTTCAGCGTGCAAAACCCACTAAAGCCAGCAATCGCACGAGTTCTAAATCTCACAACGATCATAATCTATTAATTAATTCCTCAGTAAACGTTAAACATTAACTGCAGATTGAATACATTTCAACATTTATCATAATAAAGTGTAACGCGTAATTAAAAATATAAACTAAACGAAAACGGCACACAACACATTCAGAACTTTGCAATCGACAGATCATTAAACTCCGACTGACCAGGAACGCTTTCAATTTAACAATAACACAGCTATAAAACTTGATAAATAACTTAAATTAGATATATAAAAAAATATAGAAATAAATTAACACACAGTCATTGTTCAATACACAAAATATTGTCTTCAACTATTTTATTACATTCATTATACACCACACGTCTTACAAGATATCTTATATGGAATAATAATATGGATAGCATATACACCTAAACGATAACAGAATAAAAATATAGATGACATACATTGAAACACTAAAGACTCGTTGCTGAGATGTCTAGCAAAAGCATGGCAGTTAGCACGAAATTCTGCACCCTAAATATTAATAACAGAAAAATATGCGTCTATGATTCAGAGAAGCATAATTATAGAAGGCTCATCGTCTGCGGGGTCCGTCCCGACGAATTATATATGAGTGGACGGGCCCGCGCGATTGGCGATGCGCTAACTAGACACTTGTGTGATTTACATCGTACGGCGAGACGCGGTCGCGGCAGGGCAGCGATCGCGGTCGCGGCATCCCTCGGCGCTCGACCACTGTACTTACACTCATTCCTTGTTAACCTACGAATTAACATAGCACAGCCAAAGTGACTCCGTGGGTCCCGCATGCAGCGCGCAGCGGCCAGGATCGCGCGCCGAGGGGGGAGGCCTTGGACCTCGAGGCCGGCTGGGGCCGGCGGTCATGATCAGGTGCGCCAGCCCAGGGCTCTACGAGACCGGGGGCTGTGGGCCCTGTGGCTGCGGCGGCGGCTTGGTGCCCGCCGCTGGCAGTTGCGACAGTGTGTCCTGGGTGGCATGTGCGCGCAGGAATGTGTTCTCCACTTCAAGCTGGTTGATCCTCTCCATCAGTTCGGCGATGCGCTCCTTTAATACTTCCACTTCTTCGCGCACCGCGAACATCAAGTGGCTCTTAACCAGATCCTGCAACAATAAAAAAATTATGTTAGACTTTACTGTTGTAATTGAATAATAAAAATAAGGAGAAGGTATTGAAACACTACTGGGAAATTAAGGAACAGAAATATTAAATTATGAATTTAATAAATATACTTCAAAACCGCACAACAAATGATAGAAAATATATAATTGAATGATTTAAATACTAGACGGTAAAAAATATACTAATATTACTTTTAAATAATTCGTAATAAATATTATAAAATATAAAGCGTACATTAGTGTCGGGCACGACCACGTAGCAAGGATCTTTCTGTCCCTTTTGTCTGATCTCGTAGAGACACCCATCTCTCGATTGTTGCACGACGTCGATCATTTTGTGCACGGTACAAGTATTTCAGGATCACTAACAAATAGTATGTACGTAACCGACGACAAGTAAAGCGAGACTAGTGATAATTATCAGCTACGAGGAACAAGTAGCGTTTGCGCGACCAAGAAGGCGACTGATGGTCTGCGCGCGCACGCGGCCTATTTAAAATGGCGGCGCACACGTCATTGCCACGCGGTCCGTACATGCACCCTGAACTCAACAACACAACCTACATCGATAACAGAACTCTTGCTTTATCGTTAATGTTTAGCAAAATACTTTAAAACATAGCTGTCAAGAGGAATAAAATAAAATATCAGTACGTCTAGGAATATAGATAAACAACATTTGGTATGCAAATGGTAGGATTTCTACTCGTAATAATTACTGTTAACTAATTATATACATCGATTATCATTAAGAAAAGAAAACGATGCAATTGCGCCAATTGCTAACATTCTCGGTATTTCGAAAGAGTGTACATAATTGCTTTATATATGATAGTTTCAGCGGCACAAAGCATGCGGATACGTGTGTATTAATTGATGTACTCTCCGTTAAATTGGAACAAATAAAAAGTCTACCGAGAGAACCTGCAACGTGCAGTGTTGTTACAGTTCTAAGAAGTTCAGCAAAAGTTAGATAGATTTTTGAAATAAGAGCAACATCACTAACATCTATAGAAAAACATCCAAATAAAGCATGGCCTCGAAATACAAAACACGTATCTTTGAAACATTACAATTCAAAGTCCACGAAGGCTAAAATTAGAAGTATGTAGTTGTATCGCGATGCCCCGTTGCGATGTTTCGGCCACTCAATGTTTACCATGATCAATTAAGGTTTATTAGTGTTATATAAAAATTTTAAATGCGAGGTATTTTGAAGTAGGTACGACATAGAAGTATATAGAAGTAGGTACAGATGTAACAAAATATTAAATATCCCCTTAAATTTTCAGTTACAACATCAGTCTAGATACCTGGTAGAATAGTACAAAATGTAGATCTACAAAAAATAATCTATATATTTTGTCACGCCTACAGAAGTGAGCATATATTCAGAAACATTTGAACATTTTGTATTTTCAATTTTCAAATGAGTCAAAGGATACACTTAGGACTCTAAAAGTGGAATGTTCCGTTGAGTTTTGTCTGAAGTTATAATTAGACCTGGACGCTTAATAAGATTTTATTAATGTTTTACGTGGGAGTCCCGACCTTCTAGCAATGGAATTTGTGATGCGTTTAAACAGTTCTGGTTCGTACTGGATCTTGTTAAATGATGTTGACGCCTGCGTCACCCACTGTAGATTGACGGGTGCGCCAATAGGCTTATTGACTGTTAATATTTTTAATTGTAGAGTTCTTTGCAAAATATAAGTAAATCAATATTTTTTTAAAAGAGCAAGACACAAGTTTCTTGCTCGTTCTTCTTGTCATGAGTCTGCATTCCGAATGAGCGGTAGAATCAAAGAACTTGACTATTCAAAAGTGCTTATATTAAGTTTATTTGAATAAAGATTATTTCTATTTCTATTCTATTTCTAAATATTTTCATAATTATACAGCAACAGTTCCATAAAATTATGACACTAATGGTGGTTGTAAATTAAACTGTGCATGTCATGCGTGCAAACATTTTTTTATGTCAGTGGGTAATTAGATAAATATACAGAACACAAACATGTCAAAGTTGCGATAAGATGAAAAGCAAATATGTATAAATAAAAACTACTGTAAAATTCTTGCAGAAAAACATCCTGTAAAACACTATGTACACACTTATTAAGTGCTCAGAGTATATATTTGAAGATGACAATTGGGAAACGAATAGATAATGGGAATGTGCAAATCTGCTGTGTGTTTATATATGAGCTGTGGATAAAAAAAACTAAAGTCAACGCGGACATTGCAAGTCCGAAATATAACGTCGAGTGGCGCCAAATGTTCGCATTACGAATATGACCGACAAAAGGTGCAACGTTTTCATTATCAGTGCACTGAACTTTTCGAAAATACTGTAATAAGCGATATAAATCGACCAAGGGCATATAATGAAATATAGTATTATAATTTTAAAGATAACCAGACAAATATCGACGATAATCATGCCACGTGTATTTATCAGACACGATGTACTTATTTAGTATGGGCAGACGACTCAATAATGAGAATTGCAAACAAAACGTTATTAACATCATAGAGCTGATTGACTATACTGTAGCAATCCGGTTATAATTCTCCAGGTAATGAATGCCTTATACCTTATATTTGATCGCTATTTTACTACTTCTTGCTACTTCTTAAAACAGATGTTGACCCAGACATTTGAGATATAATTAATTATATCATTAAAGCAAATAAACTAATGTGCCCATTAGAAGTGACTATTACTATTGGAAATAAATTAAGTGCTGATTCAATGAATAGATGCAGTATAATCACAACTTCAAGTACTTATATGAAAAATGCTTATCAAAATTTACGGCAAAATACGAAATATCAGTATCTTACGTAGGTATATTTATGCTTCAAGACGCACACTTGAACATATCAAATTTAATCTCAAAAATGTTTGCAATACAACGTAAAGCAGAAAAGATTATAATCTAGAAAGATTAAAACTATTAAAGCGATATAAATATACATGTTTATCGGTTATCCTGATACATATGTGTGTTAGGATATAAATAATACTAAAAAACATGAAAAAGTAGGTACAAATGGACGAAAACATGACAAAAACTTGATTAGCAATTCAAGCGGTCACATAACAAACAAGTTACTGTATATCATTGAATGTGTAAAACAATGATTCAAAACAATGTGCCGACAACAAAATTAATTAAGAGTTAAAATAATATGACATCACCTCCACATGTGCCTTGTAAACGTTTGTAAGTGATCAGGTAGTTAAATAACAGTTTGTTTTTACGGTTGTTATGTTTATGACATTGTCATAAAGTATTAAATAACTTGTATTATTTCTAATAAATTGTTTACTACTAATTTCTTGCAATTAGAGATAATTGCAAGTATGTATATTAGCAATGACTTTTAAATGGTCCACCATTTTATTTTCCATATCCAGTGTATTTATATTAGAATCTTTTTCTTGTTTCTTTTATAATTGTAGTAATACTACAGTAAATTTTATGATCCAGGTAGTTGAGGCGTTTGGTACACAACGTCTTGTATTTAACACATAGAACTTTTTATTTCTGTAGTGACTTCCCGTAACATAATTAGAAATACATCAGAATTTATTTAGACAAAAAGATTGCTACCAGTTCAATAGGAAAAAAAATTCAATGACATCTAAATACTGCATATACAGATTCCACATAGATTAAGACAATTTACACCTATATCCTACAAAACCAAGAAGTTCAACGATTTGTGTATATTTATGGCGCGGTACCAGTGTTCTTCTAAAGAGTCGTACACACGTTAGACCTGTCTGACGGTTTTCGTTTCTGTCTAGGAAGGAATCGTTCACATCAAGTTTTGCATCTTTGCCGACCAGTTTAGAAAATACATAAATGACTTGAAATTGTGGAATGAAAATTCCTACACAGGTATTACTTACTCTAATTTGATTAGCTTTAATTTTGAGTACATGTTATATATGATATTTTTAAATAGCACTTTTTATCGAATGATTTTGCCTGCTACCATTTAATAAAAAAAAACCAACATGGCAAATTGTGACGTGTAAAAATGAAAGAACATTGCTTAAGTTGAAGTCTTGTTACAACAAAAAAAAAAATTGTAAGTATATCACTTGGACTTGGAATTGTAACAATATGAGATTGTTATTGTTGTCTTGACCTACCTGATAGAAAATTCTAACCGTCACCTAATTAAATCTTGTGCTAATATTATCGATGATTTTGTATACATCGCAATTTATATTCACGTTTGTTTAAACAACATTATGCTTATAATACCTTTTATATTTTTGATAGAGCCTCGCATTATATTTGTACAGATGCGAGTAACTTATGTTGGAAAACATACTGTATCCTATTTATAATGGTGATACAATTTACAAAATATGTTGAATTAATATTCTCTTGTTTAAAATATTTCTATTTATGTGTATTATTAATCATAGGTATATTGTAGTTTTCCAGCATTGAATACAGAAGCAGGTTGTGGCCACAATCGGCCATGAGTCACTTACAACCCCGTTTCTGCATAAGGGGCAATCCATAAATTACGACATACGATTTTGAAGACTATTGTCCTCCGTCCTTGTCAAAGTAAAATCAAATTTAGTGTTGTAGTAGTTGTGTGTAGTTGTGTAATCAAATGTAGTTTTACTTCTTAAATATATAAGATTTTGAAACGTGACAGTGAAATTTAGGACTCCTCCCGTCCCCTTGTGACAGTTTGGTGACTACCTCCCTCCTCCATAGTAAATAAGTAAGTAAGAATGACCCCTAAGTTAGTGATTTCATTACTCCGCTAAATTAGTGACGTTCTAATTTATCTACATCTAGATTTTAACATAATGCTTCACAAATACCGCTGCCTATCATATCATTGTATAGATAAAAACATAAATAACTGTAAGTTAGGCATATTTAAATTAATCGATTTTAAAATACAATGTAAACACACTTATTATTCTCTAATATTGTCCT